CCGCTCGTGTTTTTGCAGGTGTGATTTGGAAATCTGAGCAGAAGAAGAAAGCACTGCTGCTGTGCTAACCCAGCCCCTGGCACAGCAGAGCTGCTCCCTCAGTGGGTTTCCCATGTGTGCCCTGCAGTGGGCTGTGCCCCACCACTATATGCCCATCTTCGCTAATTTAGAATAAGCTTCTGGGTATACCTCAAAGAGAAAACTGCCATTTATTTAGGGTATGCTGACCTGGTAAATGACACTCAGGCATCTTGCTATAAGAAGTGCAGAGTGAAGTCAGTGATGGAGTATCTCACCACTTAACCGTAGTGCCACAGGAGGTGCAAGAGCGTGCCTTCTGACACTGCTCATATTATTTGATAACAGTACCAAGTGCTCCTGCATCTCTTTGCCCAGTGTGCACACATCACCTCCACCACCCCACAGGCATCTTCTATTCCACAGCATATCTCCTGCAGTGAAGTCAGATGTGAGGGCTGTGGTGAGTGCTCCCATGAGATGCTGGGGTTTGAGAGACTCTGTCACCTTGTGTCCAAGGCAATCTCTCTTGGTATGCAGCTGAGAAACCAAGGGCAGTGGAGGTGGTATGGGTGCAGGGGGAGTTTCCTGCATTTTCTGCTAAAAACTAATAAAAGTTGGTAATTTCTTCCTCACGTATTTGCACCCTCGTAGGCTGCTGACAAGATGTGGTATGTGGAGTGTGGAGGGTTCTCTTTGCACTGCGGGCACTTGCACTGTGTGAGGCACAGTTCCTGTGCAGGGACACCGAGCTCATGCTCCAGCTATTTTTCCAGGCTACTGTCACTTTTGGAAAGTAGCCACTGGCACAGCTATTCCTAAATATGTTGGCCTATGTCAGTTTTCCCTTCCATAAAACAAATGGGACAGTACTTGGAGAGAGATTTCAAATGACACCTCCCAGGAATCTGGGTGTCACAGAGTCTTTCCAGCACCACTTGAGCAGAGGCACCAGCACATGGCACATCCTGGTGCCGGTGCAGAGGTGACCGTGGAGGAAATAGTTGGAAATAAAGCCTTTGAAACAAAGATGGGTGTGAAACTTCTAGCACCCATCTGCACTCCGCAAGGACAACTGGCAGGGAAGGGAGGTGCAGTGTGGGCACTCCTGCGTGTGGCAGTGCACTGCTGTGCATGCTGAGCTCCCCTCTCCCCTCTGCCCCAGCCCCTCTGCTGGCTCCCTGTCCTCCCGAGTTGAGAGCACTAGGCAGAACGTGCACATGAGTCTTGCCTGTCCTTTTGGTTTGTCCTCGGTCTCTTCTTTTATATTTCCTCGTTTCACATGTCTGTGTTTTCTCTCCTCCATGCTATGGCAGTGGTGCTCCATGCTGATGAGACAGTACGTGGTACAACCGCAGGCAGTCATTTTTCAGGTAATTTCCAGGATACTGAACACCTGACTCTTGCTTTTTCACCAACCAAGCAGGCCAGGGTTCCTGCTTCACAGGGACAGGCCTGATGGTCATGCAAATGCTGACTCGCAAGTAGAGGTGGCGGAGCCAATTCTGAGACCCCTGTGCTGCAGCACTGATCCCTCCAGCTGCTTGCTGCTCTGTGTGTGTACTCACATGCACCACGAGAGGGGATCTCTCTGTGAGATGCTGAGCACAGGGCTCAGTGTCTCAGCCTGTCAGCAGTCACCTTCTGCAGCAGGATGCTTCCTTCTCTTCCCAAAGCTGCCTGCACTGCTGCTGCATCGGCCTAGTGCTGGTCCCAGCCATGGCCCAGCTGCTTCGTGCAGGTGATGACAGGGGCAGTTCAGGGGCTGGCTTCTGCCCTGCACCACGTGGTGGCAAGGAGGTGGTGTTGGGTCCAGAGCAGCTGGGACTCAGCCCACGTCTGCTGCTGGTGAGTGCCTTGTGTGCAGTTATTGTGGTGGCCCTTCTATGGTTTGTTGCCCTCCTGTGGCTTGTCAGCCTGGCTGTGGAGTGGGCAGCAGCTACTGCCTCTGAGGAGGGATGCAGGTGTGCCATGAGAACAGGGGAAGTGCCTGAAAATTCCGTTGTTTGCACTTCTACAGCAGCAGGTGCAGGCTGGACTCCATCTCTGGAGCTCATCAGGCGCCTTCTCCCTGTGCAAGGTGACATGAAGGAGCAGAGGTGTGCCATTGTCCCTTCTCCCAGCAGAGTGTGCTATACCCTTCTAGCTATTTGCTTCTGCTGCTGTAACAGGTGAAATCCCTCTGAGCTTGATAAATCAAGTTCACTTATGTGGTGTTGTCAGATCATTGCAGTTAAAATTTGAGACCTACTCCTGTTACAGTTTCCTCCTAGATTAGTTACTAGCAGCTCAAAACTGACGGAAGCTGTGATGCTTTGACATTTGCAGCATACCTAAGGCTCTCATGGCAGGGATTTTGCAGGAAGAGACTTGTAATGCCTCAGCTGGGTGTGGGCGAAGAGCAGCAGCCCCTGCAGCACATTTTGGCTGTGAGGGAGTTAAACACGAGGTGTCTCTGCAAGACTGCAGCTGTGCTTTCATTCATCCGGTCTCTTTTCAGACTGGGGCTTCAGCATGCCAGATAAACATATGCAGGGGGATGTTGGGACTGCAGTCACAGAACAGTGTGGAGCAGTGTGAAGGCTGGCAGCTCCATGCAGAGCAGGGGCTGAAGAGCAGGACAGAGACCATGCAGCCTGCTGCGGCCCTGTAGGAAGCAGGAGGGCTGCCATAGAGAAGGCCAGATGGGGCTTCTGTGATGATTGCTCTGGGTAGGATGCAGGACCAGAAGAAGAAGCTTTGTCTGGTTGCGCCTGCAGGAGAATGGCTGGAAGCATCTCTGCAGAGGAGTGCTCCACCAGAAACTGTGCTCCAAAGGGTCAAAGGTATCAGAAGCACCGCTGAAGCAGAGATGTGGGCAGTGCGTATCTCTGAGGAGCCAGTGTCAGAGGAAAGAGACTGGGTTCATGAAAGTGAGGGAAATGTGAGGGTGAGGAGAGGTTTGGATGACAAATAAGCTGTAAGGGCTGAGGAACAGAACAAAATCTAAATGCAACTGAGGAATGCAGAAGATGATGATAAGTCTTTGGTGATTCGTTCCTGATGAGAAGTCTTTCAAAGAACCATAAAACTGTTTGAGTTGGAAGAGAACCTTAAAAGTCATCTTGTCCAACTCCACTGCAATGAACAGGGACACTGGGCTCAGAGCCTCATCCAGCCTGACCATGAGTGTCTCCAGGGATGGGGCTTCACCTACTCCCTGGGAAACCTGTTCCTGTGCCTCTCCATCCTGACTGTAAAAGACTTCTTCCTCATATCCAATCTAAATCTTCTCTCTTTTAGTTTGAAACTTTTTCCCCTTGACTTGTCACAGCAGATCCTGCTAGAGAGTCTGCCCTTTCTTTCTTAAAGGCCCCTTTTAGATACTGAAATGCCACTCTCAGGTCTGTCAGAGCCTCCTCTTCTCCATGCTGCACAGCCCCAGCTCTCAGCCTGTCCTTGTAATACAGGTATTCCATCCCTGAGATCATTTTTGTGTCCTTCCTCTGGACATGCTCCCACAGGTCCATGTTTCTTTGATTTTTTTGCAAAGTTCCTTGCAGCACTGATCCATGCACAGGGTGGAGAGAATGGGTGGCCAGCAGCTGTTCCTTCTGGCAAAAGGTATTTGGCATGGTCTTGCGGAAGAGGTTTGTACGGCAGATCTCTCAAGGTGATGTGGGCACTGGTGCCTCACACAGATTGCAGCCTCAAATGAAATGTGTTTCTGTCAGTATGAACTTGCTAATAATGAACTATAAAACTAAATTCACTTTGCCTTGAGTAATAGCTGAGTAACAGAGACGCAAACAGGTACACACCTGACCCAGAGCACTCAGCTGTGGCCAATCTCAGATTGTGTGGTGGGCATCTCCGGCACAAAGAAACCTGCAAAGACAGAGTTACTCAAGAAGTGTTTTGTTCACTTAGATAAAAAATATTAAAGTTAATATTTTGATATGATAGCTCAAAAGATCACTGCAGGCTTAAGTAATTACTCATTACTTCATCCGCAGTGATACTGTGGGAATCCACCTTGGAGGTTTTATTAATTTTGTCTGTTCTTCACTTGAAGTCCTAGTTCTCTGACTGTTGTGGACTTATCTCAAAAATAAAGGATTAAAACTAGTGAAAATAGCAATAGGGAAGGGAGAACATTGAAAAGAAATGTCCTTGTTTTGTGTGAATGATCCTGCAATAAGAAACCATGAGAAACACTAATGAGGATGAGCTTTCTGCCATGTACATGAGAGTCTTTCTGGGTGTGTGGATTGGCCTCCCTGCTCTAGATGGCCATAGCTACACAGACACCAAGAGGATTAGAGGACAGGAGGCATCTGTTTTCTGAGGACGTGTGCTCAGCTAGTGAAACTTTGGCTGTTGTGCTTAAGGAATTTCCACGAAATGAGAGCATCCTTACAATGGTCAGGTTATTCATTCTTAAATAACGTGGCTTTTGAAACAGTTGATTTCAAATCCATTCATTAATCAAACACTTCTATTTAAGTGCACTCTACTTCTTATGAAATAACAAGAAAATGAAGCACGCCTAAGAAAAGCAGGCAAACAGGACATTCTGGTTCCCACCTACTTGCTCCACTGAATTAAGGAGAGTTCAACTTAATAGATGTGAATGGTTTTCTCTGACAAGCAAAAAACTTACACTTGTACCTTACAGGGCCGGTGCACTTTGCTTTACAAAACTTCCTTTTTATGGAAAGCTTTGTGCCACAGTGATGAGTTTAGCTTTCATTTTATCAGGAAAGCCACGTTTGGTGTTTTCCAAGAACATTGGTGATAAGCACACACCCATTTATTTTTCTGACTGCTTAACACTATGGTTTACACTGACCATGTATTTACTGCCTTAGAAAAACTGGGCAATCTGACTGAACAAGAGCTTTTAAGGGGTTCCTGCATTGCAATTAGTATTTGCCATGCAAGGAAAAACTGTTGAATAGTGCATTTATTGTGGCTAAAATGTCTTTTGATTCTTCTTCCAGGCAACTGAATACTCAGCCATGGCATCATTAGCTGGAGGACTGGATGACATGAAGGCCAACATAAGCAGCCCTACTTCTGCAGATTTAGGAGCAAGTGTTCCTGGACCACAGTCGTACCCTATCGTAACAGGTAAGCAGTTCTGTGTACACCAATAAGTGTTGTGGAGCAGTATGTGCACACACTGGGGTAGGGCGATGCTCTTCCTGAAGGAGTGATGTCAGATGTGAAATTGTTCCTTCCAGTCTCCTTGTAACTGTGTGATTTTATAGCAGCTCTGGTGAAAGTCAGGCGCACAGCTTGTATGCATCATTAGTGTTCTCTCTGAGCCAACTGATGAAGCATGCCCTTTGACCATAAAGGTATATGGCCCTTCACTCCTAACCTGCGTTCTAGATACCCCCATATCACAGAAAAACAGAATGCTTCCTCTGCTTTTGGGATTGGTTGGTTGTTTTCCTGTTGGCACCATTTTTGACTGCATGACATTTTTATGACACTTTGAGCTAGCTTGAATTTTGAGTGCTTTTGACTTCTACAAAGATTTTGGACCACTTTGGGCCAAACAAAGGTTCTGGACCACTTGACAGGACTGTACCTGTGCACTAAGACTGAGTAATTAAATGGAAAGTGATGGTTTCTTCTGGGATTGTGTGCATTTCTTCAGCAGGTGAAGAGTAGGAGTTAAGGAACAGCTGGGATTTATAATGGTGACATGGTTACATGGGACTGACCACATCGTGGGGAAGTGGGGAAGGAGATAGTCCGAGTGAAAGAAAACTGTCTAGAAAAGGAATTATAGGAATCAGGAAAAAAAAAAAAATTAAGGATCTGTACTTCCTGTGTATGTTCCCCTGTGTGTTACTTTTTTTTGGTTTAAGTACTTCTCATGCTTGTCTTATTATTCCTGCTGCCCCATCTGTGTGTGAAACTATGCAGAAGAACATATAATGAGACTGAACTGTCCCAGAATAACCCAGAATTCTTGCAGCCCCTTGTCCCCAACTGAAGAAACTCCCCGATAAGTTACTTTTAGGCCAGGTAAGCCTTCTGGAAGTGGCTACATCCTCATATAATGCTAGTATGGTATGTCTGAGTAAGGGGAAGATGATGGCGTGTCAAAGACAGTGTCAGCAAGGGCAGTTGTTTCAGGGTATGGGTGGATCTGAGAGACAGGATGTCTGAGGAGCAGAGAGGCAAGCAAACTATGCAGTCAGAGCAGCACAGAGGGTTATGAGTTTTAGTCAATGTACACACGCACGCACACAGAGATTCATTTAAATCATCCTGTAACCAGGAAGCAGAACCTCCCTAAGCAAAGGCACGCTTACTTATTGAGCACTGAGAGATGGGGAACTGCCAAAAGGAGAGAGAAGGACCATGCTGGCACAGGATGTGATAGGCAGCGCCAGCAGGGAATCTGCTGCTTCAAAGAGAACTTTGCCTTTCACCGCCATCACAGCCACTCTCCTGCTTTGATTCTGCCCAGGGTCTGCAGGGCTTGTCCTGTTGCACGCTGTACCTGCACAGCCAGCACATGATACAGAGCCCAGCTGGAACAGCTGCTTGCAAAGCAAGTCTTTGCACAAACAAGCTCAGCTCTCTCTTCAAAACAAGATACTTGTGGCTACAGCCACAGTATCAGTTCCCTTAAAACTGTCAGAATACTTTCTTCCATCCTTGGATCATTCTTCAGTCAAGGGCCTGTAGGTCCATGACACAGGAGTGACTGGGTCAATGCTATCAAAAGCAATTGAGTCTGAAATGCTAAGCCTTTGACTCATCAAATTCAAGGCTAATTGAATCCTGCTCTTAGAGTATGTTTAAAAATAATCTTCCATTCACGGAGCCATGGCCACTGAAGCTGCAGTGGAAAGCAATGTCAAGCTATAAGTAATTTAGTGTAATGGAGTGGGAGAAAAGGGGAATTTCTTTATTTAGACCCAAATTAGCAATATATTTTATAATCAAGCTTTTATTCTAACTCACATTTCTTTGGCATTTCAGAATGTGTTTTGCCAAAGAAAGAAACATAGGTAGAGTTCATACTGAACTAGCAAAAATTATTTCTGGTTATAATCTTCTTTCAAGGGCCTCTGTGGGACACATGTATGTGCACACAGATATTTACACTTTGACAGATTCACAACCCCTTTGCTTTGAAACAGAAGCAGCGACACTACGGAACATGGTTAGAGGGCAACACCAGTAGTAGTGGATGATTGGACTAGATGAATTTAGAGGTCTTTTCCAACATTAATGATTCCATGATTCTATGGCTACGGTGACAGCAGCAGCTGTTCAATTGCTGCAGCTGTTGGCAAAGCATTTGTGGTGGGTGCAGATACTGAGGGCCTCGAAAGAGCAGATCACAGCTCATACAAGTGTCAGTCTGAGGCCTCTGGAAGCGGGCAAGATGCATCCAGCAGTTCCCCAGTAACTTCCTGCTGCCACCAGCAGGATTTCCCTTGTTTTGTAAAGTCAACCAGCACGGCAGGGGCCTGGTAGGTGGTGAGGGTAATCACTCCTTCATGGTATTTCAAAAGACAGGAATACTCCAGGTAATGCTTACTGTTTGCTTTTCTTCATTTAGAAGAACCTCTAGCTAGAGACTAATAATCTGACTTGCCAGAAAGCTGTGATGAAAGCTTTATTCATAACAATCATCTTAGGAAGCCTTAAACATAGAATAGGCATGAATGGTTACTTTTCACCAGCAGCAGGGATGCGCTGCAATCTTATTCTTAAACCACCTTTGCTACATAGGGTTTCTGAAATCATCTTGTTTGTATTTGACTCCTTGTGATTTGATTGGGGAAGATTGAGTGGTAACTCTCAAGGACTTCAGTAATTGCAGGTATCTTGACTCCATGTGTAAGGTAACAGCAATGGATTAAGTGCTTCTTACGGTCTTGCATGAGAACTCTAAGTTCTCATTCCAAGTGCTGCAAGGACTCTACAATTCATCCTGAGTAGGCTGGAGCAGATTTGCTGTGAAAAAGAGAAACAGATCATTAAGAAGTAGGTGAAATGAGGGAAAAAATGTATACTGCCACTTCAGTGCAATGCAGTTGGCTTGGGTGCTTCATTCTATTTACTCTTTTTAGTAAAAGAATATGGCATATACTGAAATGGCAAAATAGTATGTCTTGATTTAAAGCATAAAAAGAACCTGATGCGACCTGCTGGAGGGGAGCTTTGCAGAGAGGGACCTGGGTGTCCTGGTGGACAACAGGTTGCCATGAGCCAGCAGTGTGCCCTTGTGGCCAAGAGGGCCAATGGCATCCTGGGGTGCATTAAAAGAGCGTGGCCAGCAGGTGGAGGGAGGTGATCCTGCCCCTCTGCTCTGCCCTGGTAAGGCCTCATCTGGAGTACTGCGTCCAGTTCTGGGCTCCCCAGTACAAAACAGACAGGGATCTCTTGGAAAGAGTCCAGCGGAGGGCCACAAAGATGGTGAAGGGCCTGGAGCATCTCTGCTATGGAGAAAGGCTGAGTGAACTGGGTCTGTTCAGCCCTGAGTAAAGAAGGCTGAGAGGGGACCTGATCCAGGTCTATCAGTATCTGAGGTGTGGGGGGCAGAATGGCGAGGCCGGACTCTTTTCAGTGGTGAGTGGAGACAGGACAAGGGGAAACGTCCGGAAACTGCAGCATAGGAAGTTGTGCACCAATGTGTGAAGGAACTTCTGTACAGTGAGGTGAGGAGCACTGGAACAGGCTGCAGGGAGGGGGGGGAGTCTCCTGCTCTGGAGATGTTCAAGACCTGCCTGGATGCCGACCTGCGCGACCTGCTGTAGGGAACCTGCTTTGGCAGGGGGTTGGACTCGATGAGCTCTAAAGGTCCCTTCCAACCCCTACAGTTCTGTCATTCTGTGAAGCTCACAGGTATCCTGAAGATTTTTTTTTCTGTGTTTTTTGAGAGGCTGCCCTGGGCAGAAGCATGACATGATTTATCTGGTGTGTTGTTATGGGAATCTACCTCAGGTGCTGTTGATGCTGGTGCCTTCCAGAAGCAGGTCTGTCCTTAGGTCTCAGCCAGAAAGATGACCTCAAGTGAGCAGGTGCCTTGTACTGCCTCTCAGATCATGGAGCTTCCTTTTGTTGCTGCTAGGATGTTTCTGTGTTCCTTCAGCTCCTAACACCAGCTCTTTCAGAGGCCTTTTATGAGAAATCTTGTGTTTCAGATTGCATTCATGTGTAGTCTCTTCAGTTCTGTATAAGAAAGATCCATCCACAGTTAAAAGAACTGTCACTGCTTCCTTATCTTACTTACTCGGCGTGACTAACAACTTTCTTATGTTGCAATCTCTTTAGTGTTTGGTGAGCAGACTGACTGCATTACTCACGGCATAACTGACTATAAAAACAATGCTGCGAACCTTTCTATGTGTTTCACCTCTGTTCTCCTTCTAACATCATATACACTTGAACAAAAGCTCTAAATGTGGAATTTACTTCTTCTCATTGAGTAAGTGGAGCAAGCTTTATGAATAGCTAGCCTACAAAAAACGTGCTGTTGGTCTTAAATGTGACAAGCTGAGATCTATAACAAGACACATTTTACCAGGTGTAAGTAAAAGCAGGTGTTTGTATCTCTACTTTGATACTGCTGTAAACTTTTCTAACACCAGCATTCATAAAATTTAGATTTACAGAAGAGCATGAAAACCCTTTTAAAACCTGTGCTATTGGATATATTTTCAGGAAAGATTTTCAGACTGTTATTTGCCAGTTTTCTTTTGTAACCCACACCATAGCAGTTCTTCTGGAGGCACCCAGAAGCCCCCGGCACGCTCTGAGCCCACTGACGTTGAGCATGTACCATACAGCTGAGTTCTGCTCTGCTCTGAGGCTTTTGTAACAATCTCAGGGTTTACACAGATTTCAGAGGCAGAAAGATCTAAGCAGTAAGCCACGCTTTTTGTCCAAAACAAACAAGGTGTGTGAATTACAGTGCACTTGTGGGCACAGTTCTCATCATAGTTCTGGACATACCTCTATTTTCTCCCACAGATTAATGGATGCTTTTACTCATACCTCTTTTTATTATGTCAGGGCAGGGAATTCAGATGAGGAGACATATTTGTCAACCCCACTTTCACTCGTAACCAAAAGCTTCATACTGCTATGGGTCT